CGAGGGCGACGAGGGCGACGAGGGCGACGGTGGACGTGACGTCGTGGGGAGGGCGATATGGCGGTTGCGACAGCACTGCGGTGAGAGGGACGAGACGTCAAGGTGGACATGTCTTGGCGGGAGGGATTGACACCCGCGCGCGACTCCAGCTCGGAGCCTCTGCGCCGGCCATTGGTCGCTGCTGGCCTGCCACCGACACGCTGCACCCTCCTCTTCCATACACATAAGTAATTCACACACACACAGCCTGCATCGCTGCCCGCTGCATGCGCCATGCACCGCTCCCGCCCGCCCGTCTGGCTGCACTGTCAGTCTGTTATTCTCCTATCTGCACACTACACTACGCCCGCCCGCCTCCCGTCGCCAGGTGCTCGTGACGTCCCTGCTGGCCCGGATGATCGACGCACATGACATCAACCGCCAACCGACAAGCCCCATGGCCCCGTACGGGCCCTGCTAAATATACACGACCAACCCGTCCACGGCCACAGCATGCCCTCTCCAGCGCCACGTCTTGGGCGGGACAAACACGTAGGCGAAAGCGTGCCGCCGCCGCCGCCGCCGCTGCTGCTGCTGCTGCTGTTGTTGTTGTTGTTGTTGTTGTTGTTGTTGTTGTTGTTGTTGTTGTCCCAGCGTGCAAGGGCCCGTGTTGCGCACCACGCGACCTGCTATTCCTCGCACTCCCCAGGAACAGACAAAGGGAAACTCAGCCTTCCAGCACGCGCCAAAACCTCGACAACTGCACCATCCGGAGCGCCGCGTGGAAACGTGTTTTGCGCAACAGCCCTGTGTTTGGCCTGGCTTGTTTCCGCAAGCGTGCATTAGCGCGGCCAGGGTCGACCACGCGGCCTCACAGCTCCTCGTCGTCTGTATCATCATCCTCGCTGCGTGCATCTTCTGCGACGTTGCTGCTGCGCGTCGCCATGGCCCTTTTGCTGAAGGCCAGCACCCGTGGCGGCGGCACGCCCTTGGCCTCTGCGCCTTTGGCTGTGCGGCCACGACTGCCCACAAGGCCAGCATCCAACGCGGGCGTTTCAGCCGATGCCATTCGTGACTGTGGCGCAGAACCGCTCTCTTGATCTGTTTCATCATCCGATTCTTCTGGTGCTGATTCTTCCATGCTCGCCGGGTCCATGTCCATCGGGTCGTTGTCTGACGCCCATGCTCGCACGCGATCCCTCCCTGCTGCTTGCCCATAAGCTTTGCGCTTGCAGACTCGAGAGTCGCGTGCTTGGCGCCCCCCGGCCTCTGCCCTTGTTGCCTGCACAGCCGTGGCTGCAACCTCCAGTCAGTAGCTGTGGATACGCCTTGCGCGCCAACACCGACGTACCTGTGGCTTGGTCCACGCCGGCACTGACCAGCAGGCGACTCTGGTCGCGCATCTTTCTCTTCTTCTCGTTCAACAGCAGCATAAACTGCCGCAGCATGGCCGTCTCCGCCTCGCGCTTGGTCTGGACCAGGTCGTCGAGCTGTGCATTTAGCTTTGCAGTTGCCTCTTGCTCGCTGCTTACTCGGGCCTTGAGGTCGGCCATTTGCTGCAGTGTGTGGGCGTGGGCAATGGCCGAGGCCTGTGCCCATTCGAACGGGTTAAACTCAAATTCATCATTCTGCGGCAGCACAATCTCGCCCAAGGTCATCTATATGCATCAGCGCAGCCAAGCCAGGCGCGGGGGATACGTACGCACCTTTATGGCGTGAATGTCCTGGCGGAACAATAGCCCCAGTCGGCCGTTTTTCAGCGTGTAGAGCATGCGGACGCCGCGCAAGAGGGCGGCCTGGGCGCCCTCTGGCGGTTGCTGCAGCAGGAAATGAGACAAGATGGCCGCCCACTCGTCGTCGGAGCCCTTGAACTTATGCCTGAGGGCCGCGATATTGCGGTGGCGAACTGGGACCGGGTGAGCAAATGAGGGCAATGGCGTGGTTGCACGCGCAGGGGCTTACTCGACGTGACATATGGGCGTTCGCTCTCGCAGCCCACGAGGCGGACGTCCAGGGCATGGCTGCCCTCCTGCTGCACCTCGATGACGACTGTTTCCCCGCGGCCATGGGCAGGGTCGACGGGCACGATGTAGCGGGCGGGCATAGCGGGCCTGCGACTGCGACGGGCACCGACGGGGACTGGGCGATGATTTGCACCAGCTGCCACGCGGTGCGGCGGGAGGTCAGCCGGTTGGGCAGCGTCGAGGGCATGCACACGGCGCAGGCGGTGCTCCGGGCGGGCCCTGGGCGATGTGTCTCACGAGCGGCGAGCCGATCGGGGTCGTGTCGCGGGTCGCTCAGGCACAGGCACAGGCACGCGCACCGAGTGTTTTGACGCGGGCCTGGTCAGTCT